CGTGATACAGGTGAACATGGAGACCTGTGGGACACCATGGCCGTGATCCAGGTGAACACAGAGACCTGTGGGACACTATACCTGTGATACAGGTGACTGCAGAGTCCTGTGGGTCACCATGGCCATGATACAGGTGGATGGAGAGACCTGTGGGATGACACACAGCACATGGCACATATACCAGAGACCCAAAAGGAAGACAGAGTGGGACATCAGAAAAATTTGAGAAATATTCTCCCAGAAACTGAACTCTAAGGAAGAAAAAGAAAACAAACATTTTCAGAAATCACGGTCAAGACTTCAAAATCTGTTAAAATGCACCCACCCTCAGGCTGACGTCACTCAGTTCAGAAAAGTAGACCCAGGTACATCACAAACTGTCAAAGTCCAAAAAGTACAAGAAAATCATGTATATGGTCCAAAGAGATTTCATATTTATAAGGTCCAGCCCTATAGGGTTCTGTGAACCCCTCCCTGCAGGTGCAGAGGTGAGAAACTGTAGAAATAAAAGACACAGACACCGAGAGAGAGAAGAGAGTTCGGGGGTCCACTGCCAGCCGAAGCACGGAGATCTGCAGTGGCCCCGAGTGCCTGGATGCTCTGACTTAATTTTCTGAGTACAAAGCAGGGGGCGGGGAAGGTCAGGGAGGTAACGGTGGTCGGTGACAGGGTCAGGTAAATCTCGTGTCTTGGAGACAGGGGGCCCAGGACTTTCACGTGGCCGAGGCCAGGAGAAAACCTAATACGTCAGCGCTCTTCATATATTTGTCAGAAATATCAAGGACATTAAGATTATGTTACAATTATTCTTACCTTTCAAGAAAAAGAGAAACCAGGTGCAGAAGCAGGGCGTCAGAGTGGATGTGGAATGTGACCGCTGAAGCCAGCATCACATAGAGACAGTTAAGCTCCCGGATGTCTGCGGGCCTCCCTGACAGCCATCATGCCCACCGCAGGAGCTTGGAGGAGCGGAGTTTTCTCCTGCCTTCCCCAGGAAGGAGACACCCGGCCATTTTGGACGCCTCCTCCCCTAGCTGGCTAAACAGCAGGTGCTTCCCCAGGGCCGCGAGGAGCTTCCCGAGAACGGGTACTGCGCACAGCCGAGGAGCCCTCCAGCAACCCTATGCGGGTATGACAGAGGGCTTAGGGCATCATGACTTAGGATCACTTTGTTCACAGTGTCACCTCAGTTCCATGCTTCATAACCCAAGAGTCATTAGTAAGATTAAAGGTTATATTGAGTATATGTCTTTATAGGTAACTGTAAGATTATATACGATTATATAAAGGAATAACTATGTGCCTACCTTTCTAATTCTCTTCTAAATCAGTATTTATATGGGAACAGGCTGAGGCTCCAGATCCTTGCCAGGGCACTTTCAGGGTTTCCCCCTACATATATTGAGAAAAACAGAAGAATGAGAAAATTCCTCATCAGAAACAATAGAAAGCAGGCATGAACAGAACTTTAACACACCAAAAGAAAAAAATTGTCCACTCAGAATTCTGTATCCTCTAAAAATCTACTTCAAAAGAGAAGGAGGAGTGGGGTGTGCTGGCTCATGCCTGTAACCCCAGCGGTGCGAGACCAGCCTGACCAACATGGAGAAACCCCATCTTTACTTAAAAGTACAAAAATTAGCCAGGCGTGGTGGTGCGTGCCTGTAGTCCCAGCTACTTGGGAGGCTGAGGCAGGAGAATCGCTTGAACCTGGGAGGCAGACGTTGTGGTGAGCCAAGATTGCACTGCTGCACTCCAGCCTGGGCAACAAGAGGGAGACTCCATCTCAAAAAAAGAAAACAAAGAAAGAAAGAAAGAAAGAGAAAGAAAGAAAGAAAAAGAAATAGGCTGTTGAGCCACAGAAAGATATGGAGGGGCCTGAAATGAATATGGAAGAGGCCGGCCTCAAAGGCTACACACTGTCAGCGTCTACCACAGAACGTCCTTGCCAAACTGCTCAAAACCAGTGGGAGCAAAATGTCGTCAAAGCTGGCAGAGAAAAAACCAAGAGAGGACTGAAGGTTTTCCACGGGAGGTAGGGTGAGCCAGAAGACAGAACACCTTCCCAGTCTGAAGGGAAATGTAAACCAGGGCCAGGGACGGTGGCTCACGCCTGTAATCCCAGCACTTTGGAAGGCCAAACCATGTCAATCACCTGAGGTCAGGAGTTGGAGACCAGCCTGGCCAACATGGTGAAACCCTGTCTCTACTAAAAATACAAAAAATAGCTGGGTGTGGTGGCGGGCCCCTGCCATTCTAGCTACTCCAGAAGCTGAGGCAGGAGAACTGCTTGAACCTGGGGGGTGGAGGTTGCAGGGAGTTGGGATCGCGCCATTGCACTCGAGCCTGGGCGACGAAGGGAGACTCCATTTCGAAAAAAAAGATGCTACACTGAAAACCATAACATTGCTAAGATTAAAGGTCTTACCAGAGAGGTAACAACCCACAGAGTAAAATATCAATTCTCCCCAAATTAAAGATTCAATGCAAGCCTAATCAAAACCCTAGCAAATATTTTTGAGGCGATTGACAAGTTGTATATCTACCTAAGTTTTAAGATTAAAACTTGTCAGGGCTGGATGTGGTGGCTCACACCTCTAATCCCAGCACTTTGGGAGGCCAAGGCTGAGGCAGGAGAACCACTTGAACCTGGGAGGTGCAGGTTGTGGTGAGCTGAGATTGCGCCATTGCATTCCAGCCTGGGCAACAAGAGTGAAACTCTGTCTCTAAAATAAATAAATAATAATAAAACCTGTCAGTTGCTGAAAAAATAATTTTACTCAAACTTATCTACATACAATGAAAACTTACAAAGTTGGACGACTTGCACCACCTCGGACTTACGTGTAACGTGGAACAATTGTGACAGTGTGGCATGACTCAGTGTGAGAGAAGGGAGACACTGTGCAGACACTTGATTTATCACAAAGGCATCGCTGCAACTCAGTGGGGGAGAGAATGGACTTTTTTTTCCTTTTGGAGACAGAGCCACCGTGCCTGGCCACAGTCTTTTCAATGTGTGGTGCTGGAGCAACTGCATATCTATATGGAAAAACAGTTCCCTAACCCACACCTCATACCATCTAACGCCATACACCAAAATTCATTTTTTTTTTTTATTTTTCTGAGATGGAGTCTCACTCTGTGGCCCAGGCTGGAGTGCAGTGGTGCAATCTCAGCTCACTGCAACCTCCACCTTGTGGTTCAAGCAATTCTCCTGCCTCAACCTCCCATGTATCTGGGACTACAGGCAAGTGCCATCATGCCTGGCTATTTTTTTTTTTTATTTGTAGTAGAGACAGGGTTTCACCATGTTGGACAGGCTGGTCGCAAACTCCCGACCTCAAGTGATCCACCTGCCTCGGCCTCCCAAAGTGCTGGGATTACAGGGTGAGCCAAAGCCCTGGCCACCATACACCAAAATTTAAATTAAGTTGGATCACAGTCTTAAATGTGAAAGGAACACAATAAAGCTTCTAGAATGAAACGTGGAAGAATACCTTCAAGAGCCTGAAAGTAAGCAAAGACTCTTAAATAGGACAAAAACACATTACTTTTAAAATGAAGATCTGTAAGCTGGACTTTACTGAAGACACCACCAAGAGAGTCAACGGGCAAGCCACAAACTGGAGCAGACAGCAGCAGTGTGCAAAGCCCACAGAGGACTCGCTTCCAGAATGCATGAGTCACTCCACAAATCAGAGAGAAAGACCACCCAAGTCAGAAACAGGGAAAGCTTTGGGCACTCACAAAGAGAATATCCAAATGGCGAGCACACTCTCCAGGGAAATGCCAATGAAAGACACGATGCAACAAGAGTCCATCTCAACTCAGGCAAATTCATCCTCGGGATCAAACGCCGAGAATGTGAGCGACTCCCACAAATCATGAGTGAGAAACTCGGGCAGCACACGTGACCCCAGCACACGCCTACCGAGCGACTCCCTGCTGTCCATCGAGAACTGAGCGCTCTATCCACAAACCAGGCACAAGGGCATTCATGGACCACACATGGACCCAACCATGACAGCAGCCCATGGCAGGAGGGATGGGCAAACATGGCACCCAAACCAAGCATCACAGTGCAATACTCGACACACAAGCACAGCAGATGACTCCAACAGCACAGACGTCACACAGAGTGGGAGCAGGCCAGTGGCGTCCCATGGCTGAAGTGGTGCTGGCTGCCGAGGACGGGGCACCCTCATGGGGTGAGTCAGGGTTTGGAAAGGGCCCTGACAACAGGCTCCGAGGCCAGGGCTCCACCCAGACTGTGACTGCAGGTGCCTTTTCTGGGTGAGGGTCCCATGTCCCCTTAGACCCTGCTTTCTGAATGTTTCAGCTTGGCTGCACCTGCCTGCCTCCGTCCCCCTCTCACACGGGTCCATCCCAGCCATGGAATCACATTAGAGAAGGCTCCTGAGCTAGGAGCACCGGCCCAGGGCCTCTGAGGGCTCCAGGAAAAGACAAGACCCAAGTCAGTGGGCAAGTGAGTCCATGCCTGGAAGGGGCCAGAGCGGCTTGGCTCTGAACTCTAGTGGGGAAAAGATGAAGTTCAGGTCCAGGACAGGGTGTGCCCTGCAGAGGTGGGGAGCCAGGCAGGGGAAGCCGCATGACACCCAGCAGGTCTCTCCGGAGAACCCATCTGACCCGGGGCTCCTGAGGAGGCGCCTTGGGGCAGAGAGCCGGTGAAGGCAGTGGCCCCGGCTTGGGGGAGATGGCTGGAGTCAAGGGCGGGGCAGGATGGTCTGGCTGCACGGGTTGACAGGAGCAGACCCCAAGAGACGGACAGAGCTGGACAGAGTGGGCAGGGCCAGGCATCGACAGGCCCACCGCAGTCAAGAGAGCCTTCACTTCCTGCAGCCACAGGCTCGGCTGCCCAGCAAGCCACAAAGGGTGGGCACCTGACCAGGCTGGGCCCCTCAGACTGTCCAACGATCTGCCATCCAACTGGACCACTCCCCTGCAGAAGTGAGTTTCCAGCCCCAGGCCCCATGCACTCTTCTCACAGGGCCAGTTCAAGTGCAGGCTGCTGAGGTCAGCTTGGAACTGAGGTCCCACCATAATCTCCTGCAAACAAGGGCCTGGGAATCAGGACACTGAGGAAGCATCTGGCACAGGAGGGAGGCTGGCTGCCATGTGCTGTGGCCAGCTAGGGCGGAGGGGCTGCCATTCAGATCCCAGACCCATGTGTGCAATCTACCTGCTGATGCCAGTTCTGGGGTCTGAGGATGGGAGGCAGAGGCCTGTATATGTGAGGGGAGGCTGTGCCCTGACACTGGCCTGGCAGGCCCGGATAGTATGTCAGAGGAGAGACAGTCTGGGTCAGCAGCAGGAGCCGGGGCTCCAGTCCCAGCCTACCCCAGGGTTGAGCAGCATGTCCCTCCTCTGAGAAGGGGCACACGCCCAGGGAGAGGGCTCAGCAGGACCCCACTGCTGTGACTGCAGTTGATACAAGGTTGGGGAGAAGCAGAGCCACGTACCTTCTTACATTTGTTGGCAGGAAGAGCCAGGCTCTTTGACTTTATCAGCCAGGAAACAAACTTTGGGAAAATGGAGGCAGGTCCTCCAGGGTCTCCACTGCTGGCAGCCTGCACGGCCCGTTCTCCAGGCAAAGACACTTTACTCCCACTCTCCATCCACCTGATCCCCAGGCTGTGACGCCCTCCCTGGCCAGACACTGGGACATGGATGGGCACAGAACCCAGGACCCGGGGTGCACTCTGAAGAAAGAGGCCTTCCCTTCCCTTCCACGTGGCTGCTGTACTGCTGGGCCCCAGCTGTCAGCTCCCAGGAAAGCCAGTGCACAGGCCTGTGGGGGAGGATGGCTATGGGGATGCTGTCTCTAGATCTGCTGTGGAAACCAACACATTCCCTGCTTGTTTAAACTGAATTGCTCCGAGAGTCTCTGCTCACTGGCCAGGATGGGGCAGAACAAGGCACCCCCATGGGGATACCAATGCTCCCCACCAGGCAGACCCCCTCATCCGTAATGAGTTCTTGGCCTGCACCCTTCATCAGCATCACCCCTGCCTGGCCTGGGGCCTGGGCATGGGAGAGGATTGGAACAGAGTCACCTACATCCACTCCGGTTTGGGAAGAGGTCGGAGGCCTCGTGGGAGGTCACAGTTGGGGTGAGGTCATTAGCAGATGGCTGCGTCTCTTCCTCTTCTTCCCCTGAAAGCAAATCCTTCGCTATTTGTTCCTTTTAATAAAAAAGCAAAGGACGTTTTACAGTTTAGCAGTCTTGGGATAACACTAATGATAACAACAGTGAAGAGGCTGGGGGCTCCCTGAGGCTCACGTGGGGCCTATGCCCATTCTGCAGAAAAGAAAACGGAGGTGGCTGAGGGTGCACAGTGTTGAGGGGAGGGAAGCAGGGGTGGAACTGGACATGTGGGGCGCTATTCCCATTACACAGGTAAAGAGCTGGAGGTACCCAAGGGTGCACAACGCAGGGAGAGCTCACACCCACCCACCAGCACTGGGAACAGTCAGAGCTACCACTGGGCACCGCCCAGAGCACGTGGCTCTTTCTCGGCCGTGCATTTGGTGTTAACCTTCTGCAATGCAGCCTTCCCCTGCTCCAAATGCCCAGGCCTCAAGTGGTGACCTCTGGGTACCTAATGTCAGAGAGCCCAGTCCTGAGGAGGCGGCCAGGTCATAATTCCTATGCCTTCCCAGGTGCACTTCTCCAGGATAGGCCCCAATTGCCCCTCCACCCACCCATGCCAGAAGGACACGTGGCCCAGGGTTAAGGCCAGGGTCCAGCCTCATGCCCATGGTCATTCTAACCTTGGCAGAGTGGTACAGGTGGCACATTTGACTTGTTCTGGGGGCCTTTGTCCTCCTCTCACGGAATGCACCCTGCTGAGAGGAAGCCCCGGTCTCCACACCTCTGCTGGGGGCCATTTCCAGGAAGAGCACTCACTCACCATGTCCAGGGTCATGTCCGGGAGGTTGGGAGCCATGTCGCCACCCTCACTTTCCTGCTCTGAGATGGGGTCTGAGGCCTCGTAGCCATAGAGTGCAAGGAGCTCATCGAAGGGCATGTCGCTGCTCTGAGTTAGGGAGGCGAACAGGGCCCCATCAGGAGGGACTACTCAGGGGGCTCCTGTCCCCTCTCCCTTACCTGAGCCTTGCTGGCTACAACCAGGGCTACTCTGACACACCCACAGCAGCTCCTGACATGCAGCACTCCCCAGCCAGACCTCAGGCTCAGCCCCTCATCCGAGAGCTCCTTCACAATCCCTCAGAGAGGCATTGTAACACAGGGGTCACCGGCCGGAGAAGAGGGCACCACCCTGCCTACAGTGCCTCCTCGCACAGGGTGAATGACAGGAATACAAGGATGGCACTATTTTAACTCAACATCACTTTATTAAAGGGGAAAAACATAACCTGAAAGCCATTTGGTAAAATCTGACATTTATTCCTGATTAAAAAAAAAAAAAAAAAACCCTCAGGAAACTACATGAACAGGCAGCATTTTGGAAGGCCAAGGAGGGCAGATCACTTGAGGCCAGGAGTTCAAGACCAGCCTGGGCAACATGGCAAAATGTTGTCTCCACTAAAAATAAGCTACATGCCTCCTATCGTCCCAGCTAATCGGGAGGATGAGGCAGGAGAATCACCTGAACCTGGGAGGCAGAGGTTGCAGTGAGCCAAGACCGCACCACTTCACTCCAGCCTGGGTGACACAGTGAGACTCTGTCTCAAAATTAAAAATTAAAAAAGAAGAAGAAAAGTACACAAACAGATGGATGCTTGATAAATATAATGGAGAAGCTGTCGATTCACACTGGGTCAAAAATGTGTAACCAGAGAAATCACCATCACGAATGGGAACAAGAGCGCCGTGATGAACACACAGCTTGATGCTGAGCCCGTGCAGGCTGCCAGGAAGTGGAAGGGCACATAACTCCCAGGAAGGGAGAGACTTCACCCTCTCCAGCACTGCTTTCAAATCCCCACGCCCCCATCATCAGAGCCTCTTCACGACTGAGGTTACAGCTGCCTGCTCAGACTCCACCCGGCCCCGGGGTTCACTCTCAGCATCCACCTTCCTGAACCCTCCCTATCATTCTCTCAGGATGTCAGCACTGGCCTCTCCTCCACCCCAGCTCCTGCCCAGACTCCTCCTGGGGCTTCAAGTCCACAAAGAACCTCCCGGCCCATTCCCAGCCCTTCCCCAGGTGGAACGTCCATAGCAAGTCCCCCTTTAGTTCTCACAGGACCCCACAGACAGAACAGATTCTGTATGCCCATGACCGCCAGGAGTATGTGGGTGGGAGGGCTGAGACGGTGGTCCCAAGGCCCCTGGGTGCCAGGGTGAAGCCCTGTCCAAAGAGCACTAAGCTGTGGTTTCCATGCTGGGCCTCACTGACCCTCACACTGATGGTGCCGCACCAGCAGCAGGCAACAGCCCAGCGCCCGTGGAAGCCACAGCCAGGGCACCACTGCCTATCCCTCACAGACCAAAAGCAAACTCCCCAGCTTCATTTCAGAAGATGGTGGGCACATTCTGCTGAAGTCACATCCTGAGCAGACACCTCCATGTTTTGTGTGAGGGCATGGGAAGCAGAGCAGCTGCTGCCTACCAGGGTGAGGGGCTCCTTCAAGGAAGCACAGGGCAGAATGGGTGGTGAGGTGAGGGGGCCCTTCCTGTCCTTTCACCTCAAGAGTGCTGGCCTACTACAGCCACTCGGACAGGAGACTCACAGGCAGGCAAGGGGGGATGCTACTTCAGAGGAAACAGCTGACCTAACTGCTGCAACCGTAGAACTCAAGACTTTGACAAACGAGTTTGACAACATGAACTTGCCAAATTTCCAACATTTACAAAACTTGTGATGAGGTCGGCGGTGACATTAACTGTTACAGTCAACCCTAACCCCCAACGCGACTGTATCTGGAGATGAGGCGTTTACAGAAGTGACTAAGGTTCAGTGAGGCCATGAGGGTGGGGCCCTGATCCAGCAGGATTAGTAACCTTTTACGAAAAACACCAGAGGGCTCCCTCGGGTTCTCTGTCCACCACATGAGGACAGAGAGCAGCACCGGAAGCCACTCTGCGGGACCTGTTCACGGACCTCTCTGCCTCTGCAACAATGAGGTTCACTGGTAACAGTCTCAGATTCCACTCCACAAAACTACCATTTGCTGAGTTTTGCTGTGGCATCAAAGAATAACACCCAATTATCTGAAAAACTGTTAAATACACCTTCCTTTTCCAACAACAGTACTGTATGAGGCTGTATGTGTACTTCAACCATAACACCTTATCACAACAGACTAACATCTCCCTTAAAAGACAGAAGCGGGCTGGGCATGGCTCACCCTGTAATCCAAGCATAAGAGGCCGAGGCGGGAGGATCACTTTGAGGTCAGGCGTTTAAGATCAGCCTGGCCAACATGTTGAAATTCCATCTCTACTAAAAACACAAAAATTAGCTGGGCACACTGGTGGGCTCCTGTAGTCCCAGCTACTCGGGAGGCTGAGGCAAGGCAATCACTTGAACCTGGGAGGTGGAGGTTGCAGTGAGCTGAGAATGTGCCACTGCACTCCAGCATGGGCAAAAGGGCCCCACTCTGTCTCAAAACATAAAAGAAAGAAAGAACTTGAGTCATGTACGGTGCCTCACACCTATACTCCCAGCACTTTGGGAGACCCACACAGAAAAATTGCTTGAGGTCAAGAGTTTGAGACCAGACCTAGCAAAATAGCAAGACCTCTACAAAAAAAAATAAATAAAATCAAAAGGTTAGGCCAGGCCCAGTGGCTCAGGACTGTAATCCCAGCACTTTGGGAGGGTGAGGTGGGTGGATCATGAGGTCAGAAGATCAAGACCATCCTGGCCAACATGGTGAAACCCTGTCTCTACTAAAAATACAAAAACAATATTAGCTGGGCGTGGTGGCATGCACTTGTAATCCCAGCTACTTAGGAGGCTGAGGCAGGAGAATCACTTGAATCCAGAAGGTGGAGGTTGCAGTGAGCCGAGATCACACCAGTGCACGCCAGTCTGGTCAACAGAGCAAGACTCTGTCAAAAAAAAATAAAAAAGACAGAAGATGGACTTTCATATATGCTTCTGTATTCAAAGAGATTTGGAAAACTAAAAATTCATTCTTTGCACTAATTGTTTTTTCTTTTGGAACACAGAGGTTTTCTTTAATTTTCACAAAAGTATTTATATTAACATGTAACTGACTTGTTCAAGCTATTTATTTATTTATTTATTTTAATTTTTTTTTGTCGCCAGGTGCCAAGCTGGAGTGCAGTAGCACAATCTCGGCTCACTGCAAACTCTGCCTCCTGGGTTCAAGCAATTCTCCTGCCTCAGCCTCCCGAGTAGCTGGGACTACAGGTGCATGCCACCATGCCTAGCTAATTTTTGTGTTTTTAGTAGAGACAGGGTTTCACCATGTTGGCCCAGATGGTCTCTATCTCTTGACCTCGTGATTCTCCCACCCTGGCCTCCCAAAGTGCTGGAATTACAGGTATGAGCCACCACACCCAGCCTATTCATGTCATTTTAAAATGAGTTAGCAAATAAGTATTAATACATGTCAATTTTAACTTTTAATGTAGTAAAAAAGCAATAGATAAAACCCATTAACAAAGCTCCTTAAAACTCTGAATAATTATTTTTTTTGAGACAGGGTCTCACTCTGTCAACCCAGGCTCCAGTGCAATGGCGCCATCTCAGCTCACTGCAACCTCCACCTCCCAGGTTCAAGTGATTCTCCCGCCTCAGCCCGCTGAAGAGCTGGGACTATAGGCGTATGTGACACGCCCAGCTAATTTTTGCATTTTTAGTGGCGGTGGGGTTTTACCATGTTGGCCAGGCTGGTCTCAAACTCCTGATCCCGGGTGATCTGCCAGCCTCAGCCTCCCAAAGTGCTGGGATTACAGTTGTGAGCGACTGCGCCCGGCCAAAACTCTCAATAATTTTTTTCCCCAGTCTACACTGCCTCGGTACGCTCAATAATTTTTAAGAGTACAAATTGGATTCTGAGACCAGAGAGTTTGAGAGCAGCTGGCTTAATGCCCGGCCACCGTGCTGCTCAGAGAGCCCCATGAAAGACCCGGTCACCACTGAATTCAGCTCCTAGGATGGTGCCTGGCACTTTGCAGAGAGATGCACAATTTAGCACTTGCCAACATAAATCCGACTGCACAGAAACTGTGAAGCTGACCCCAGAGGGCTCCACCCAACACGGGGACGGGATCACCTCGGCCAAGTACCTGAAAGATGAAGTCCTTCTCCAGCTCCTCCTTGGGCTTGTCTGAGCACCTCGAAGCCTCCTCCAACTCCCCCTCAACACTGTAGTTCTGTGACAGGATCTCCGCGAGGTTGAACTGATGATCTCCAGAGCCTATGGACACCACTGGGGAGAAGACGGCAGAGCAGATGAGCACCTTGCCCGCCTGTCCCAACCACCCTGCACAGACTGGGGGCACCTGGGGCAGGGGAAGCCCTATGGGTGAGGCCCTCTGCACCACAGGGCCAGCCTCCCACGTGGGTCCCTGCTGGGACACCCCACAACTCAAGCACCCCACAACAGTTGGTGAACTGCACACACTAATTCCAAGGTTTTTTTTTTTTATAAGGGGGGGTGTCTTTCTGAGGGACTGCTTGTCTTCCTGAACAGGGAAGTCTGTGAGAATTTGGAGAGTGCGGACTAGAAGGAGACAGACACCCATGTCGTTAGGGTGGGGGGAGCAGCAGGACTCATTGAAGCTGAGTGCATGCTGGGCTCCATGGCTCCTGAAATGGGTGATGCCGAACCCTCACCTGCATGGGTCAGCACAGCATCAAGGACCATGCAGGGGCAGTGCCGGTGGGACCTGGACAACCCCAGCCTCCCATGCTCCACCTGCAGGGCCACGTGAAGCTGCCGTGCGACACACACGGCCCAACAGACGGCGGCTGTCATCAGACCCAGGGTTTCCTTGAAAGAACTGGGGTGTGTCACCATTTCGCTCCACGTTTAGTCTCCAATTAGTCAGACTTTAAAACAAACAAAAGGAAATAGCCAGGGTTCAATCAATCCAGACAGGGAGCAGTATAGCCCAAGGCTGGGGGCCTGAGGGCCTGGGGTCCAGGGCAGGAAGCCTCTAGGAGGGCAGACACAGAGCCTGGGTGGCTGGACACACAGGGGCGCACCACGCACAGACCAGGCAGCTGCGGGATGTGGAAGACCCCGTGTGGCAGGCACCTCGCTAGAGTGAAGGAATGACCTAGAGCTGCCTGGGTGCGCCTGGACCCTCAGTGACCACGGCATCCCTGGAGGAGCCATGTAGGGAAAATAGGGATAGCAATGCCTTCTTTGGAGACTGAGGTGTGGACGAGATTTACGCTGTGAAGATAGGAAGCCCTACATTTGGCCCATGGGAGTGCAGCAAAGGGAAGAAGGAGCAGTCACCGAGACACTTGCCCAACCACATTCCACCCTGTGGGCCCAGCACAGGTGGCCAGCAGGTGGCCTGGGACCTCAATGCCCCTCGGGCAAGCAGCATCGGTGCAGGGAGGTGCAAGGAACCAGGGTCTGCCTGTCTCCCTGGCTCCACCTTCTCCAGCCTGCATCCCTCAGCAAACCCCCAACCCCAGCAGCCCAGGCAAGATGAGGTGGCCCTCAGCTTGGTGCAGGCCTGTGCCGGGGTCCTCTGCTGGAGGTCCGGGCTCTGAGGATGGTCTCGGGTGGCTTGGGCTCCCTGCCTCTGCTAGAGAACAGGAAGATGGAGTCCTGATCATGCTCCCCACACCTCCATCTGGACGGATGGGAGCTGGAACACCCTGGACTCTGGAAGCCAGTGTGCTGGTCACAACTCAGCCAGGCCTGGTGGGCATTCTGTCTCTCAACAGCCACAAAGGCCTTGGCAGACCTGGGTGGGGGGAGGAGGGAGGAAGTTACCTGCTGTTTTCTGCAAGCCAGGCTCTTCAGGGTACAGGCTGTGTGCAAGGCAGGAGACCACGCGAGGGCTCTGCCTCCCCAGCGAGGACACCTGTGGAGGAACAGAAGCAGGGTTAGCTCGGCCAGTCCAAGTCCTGCTGCTGGACATCACAGGGTGGCAGCCAAGAGCAAGCACTGGTCAGACTCCGTTCGGTGAGCAGGGAAGGGGCTTTGTCTCCGCTTCTGAGGGCTGGAGAGCATTGGGTGCAGCACATGTGTGGGGCCACCACAGGTGCTGCTTCCCACCCAGGATCGCTTGCAGGGTGAAAGCTGTTTTGCCCCAGGCAGGACATGCATTGTGTGACACTGAAAACCGCCCACAAACAGACCTCTGTCCTGACTCATGCTGCAACCTGATGAAGCTCAAGAACAGCATGCACTGGGGGGGAAGACAGACACCAATGGCCACGGCCAAGGGTCCACTGATACAGAACGTTGAGAACAAACCAATCCACAGACAGAAAGAGGCTCATGGGGGCCAGGAGCCAGGAAAAGGGACAGTGGGAGAGTGACTGCTAATGGTGATGACAAAATGTTTTCGATTAGAGTCAAAACCTGCGTTACCGTGGATACACTAAAAATCAATGAATTATAAACTTTAAAGTAGGTGTATTTTATGTTTTATAAATTACCTAAATTTTTTTTCATAAAATGGCAAACAAAACCATAAGTTATCATTATTACAATGTTCGTTCAATCAATCTCTCTCTCTTCTCTCTCTCTCTCTCTCTCTCTTTCTTTTGAGACAGAGCCTTGCTCTGTCACCCAGGCTGGAGTGCAGTGGCACAATCTCGGCTCACTGCAATCTCTGCTTCCCAGGTTCAAGTGATTCTCCTGCCTCAGCCTCCCAAGTAGCTAGGACTACAAGTGCACACCACCATGCCTGGGTAATTTCTGTATTTTCAGTAGACACAGGGTTTTACCAAGTTGTCCCAGGCTGGTCTCGAACTGTTGACCTCAAGTGATCGGCCCACCTCGGCCTCCCAAAGTGTTGCGTGAACCGCCGCAGGAACCCGCAACATCGCTCATGGACATAAACACAAAAACCCTCAACAAAATACTGTCAAACTGAATCCAGCAACGTATAAAGACGATCGTACGCCACAAACAAGTAAGATTTATTGCAGGGATGCAAGGTTGATTCAACACCAAAACTCAGTTACTATAATAAACCACATCAATAAAATAAAAAAACCAAAACATAGGATCATCTCAACACGTCCAATTCAACAAAATCCCTTTCATAATGAAAAACATCCAATCAACTCAGAGCAGAAGGGAACGTCTCAACCTGACAAAGAGCATCTACGGAAAACCATACTCAGCACTGCCCTCAACGGTGAAAGGCTGGATGCACTCTCTAAGCCACCACGCACACAACAACGTTTACTCTCGCCTCTCACGTGCCGCAGAGAGCTGCAGGATGCAGTCAGTGCAAGAACATGAAATAAAAAGAACCGGGCCGGGTGCGGTGGCTCAAGCCTGTAATCCCAGCACTTTGGGAGGCCGAGGTGGGTGGATCACGAGGTCAAGAGATCGAGACCATCCTGGTCAACATGGTGAAACCCCGTCTCTACTAAAATACAAAAAAAAATTAGCTGGGCATGGTGGCGCGTGCCTGTAATCCCAGCTACTCAGGAGGTTGAGGCAGGAGAACTGCCAGAACCCAGGAGGCAGAGGTTGCGGTGAGCCGAGATCACGCCATTGCACTCCAGCCTGGGTAACAAGAGTGAAACTTTGTCTCAAAAAAAAAAAAAAAAAAAAAAAAAAGAAAAAGAACTGAGATTGATAAGGAAGCCGGGCACGGCAGCTCAGGCCTGTAATCCCAACACTTTGGGAGGCCGAGGCAGGTGGATCATCTGAGGTCAGGAGTTCAAGACCAGCCTGACCCATATGGTGAAACCCTGTCTCTATTAAAAATACCAAAAAATTAGCTGGGCATTGTGGCATGTGCCTGGTAATCCCAGGTATTCAGGAGGCTGAGGCAGGAGAACTGCTTGAACCAGGGAGACAGAGGTTGTAATAAGCCAAGTCTGTGCCACTGCACTCCAGCCTGGGCAACAGAGCAAGACTCCATTTCAGAAAAAAAATAGGCCAGACACAGTGGCTCATGCCTGCAATCCTAGCACCCTGGGAGACCAAGGCGGGCAGATCATGAGGTCAAGAGATCAAGACCATCCTGACCAACATGGTGAAATCCCATCTCTACTAAAAATACAAAAATCAGCAGGGCACGGTGGCATGCGCCTGTAGTCCCAGCTACTCGGGAGGCTGAGGCAGGAGAAAAGCTTGAATCCAGGAGGCAAAGGTTGGAGTGAGCCAAGATCGCGCCACTGTACTCCAGCCTGGCGAAAGAGCAAGAATCTGACTTAAAAAAAAAAAAAAAAAAAAGACAGACTGGTAAGGAAGAAGTAAAACTATCTCTGTGCTGGTGCTGGTGACTATTCAAACTGAAGTGAATTCAGCAAGGTTGCAGGATACAAAATCAATACATAAAAATCGATTTTATTTCTACGTAAAAGCAACAAACGATACAAAAAGAAAATTAAAAGAACAATTTCGTTTACAATAGCATCGAGAGAAGTATGAAAGATTTACAGTCCTCTGAGTGGACCAAGCTGAAGGAAAGATCTCGGTGAATGAAAAGACATCCCATGTGCATGGCTGAGAAGGCAACATCAAGATGGCGTCACACCCGATGGATTCACAGGCTCAGTGCAAACCCCATCAGAGCCCTAGCTGGCTTGGTTGCAGAAACCCACGAGCCGATTCCAAAAAGCATATGGAAGCTCAAGATACCCAAAACAGCCCAAACAACCTTGAAACAGAATACCTCCTGATTTCAAAACTCACCGCAAAGCCACGGCAATCAAAACAGTGCGGCGCTGCCGTCGGGATAGCACAAAGATCAATGAAATACAACTGAGAACCCAGAAATGAATTCACAGTCAACAGGTGTCAAAGCAGTTCTACAGGGGAATGAACAGTCTTTAACAAACGGTGCCGGGCCAGCTGAATATCCACATGCAACAGAATGAAGCGGAACCCCTATCTCACACCATATGTGAAAATTACCTCAAAATGGATCTTAGGTAGAGGAGCTAAAACCATACAACTTTCAGGAGAAAACACAGGAATAAATATCTGTAAGCTTTTGATTGAATCTGCAGATGTGGGGGAAAAGAAATTGTGACCATGGATTTGAACGGTTTCCTACACAAGACACCAAAACGAAAACTGACAAAAAAACAAAAAAACAAATGGACAAACAACTTCACCAAAATTAAAAACTTCTGTACTTAAGGCCACTATCAAGAAAGTAAAAGGACAACTCAGAACATCAGAGAACACATCTGAAAAATCATCTACGTGGTAAGGAACTTGTTATGAGAACATATAAAGAACTTTTACAACTTGATAAGGAAAAGACAATCCAACCAAGACATGGGCAAAGGATGTGAACAGACATTTCTCCCAAGAGGACGCACAAATGGGCAATGGCACAGGAAGAGATGCTCAGTGCAGCATCAGGGACCCCACTTCCTCCTCAGAGAGCAGCGATGCTCAGACAGACAGACAACCACAAGTGCTGACAGGAACGTGGACACGTCGGAATTCTCCTGCCCCACTGGTGGGAGCGTTAAAATGCTGCAGCCACTCTGGAAAGCGGTCCAGCAATTCCTCCAAAAGGTAAATGGTATTTAACGACACGACCCAGGTTAGGATCCTAATTTCCATCAGCTGACAAACACCAAACAAGGGACTCACGATTGGACAAAAGAAGGAAGCGCTGACATTACAACGTGGATGGACCTTGAAGGCGCCGCGCTCCCGAAAGCAGCCAGACACGAAAGGCCATGTATCATATGACTCGTTTTATTTCTAATGTCCAGGGTAGGCAAATCGTAGAGACAGAAAGTAGATTCCTGGTCGAAAGGGGTTGGTGGGTAGATGTGGGGTTGGGGAGTGACCACTAAGGGGTGTGGGGTTCCTTTAGGGGTGATGAAAATGTTCTAGAATTGACTGATGGTGGCCACACAACTCAGTGGATGCATGAATAACCACTGAACTGCATGGCAAATGAATTATACCTCAGTAAAGCTGCTGCCAAAAAGCGTCGATTAAAATATTTAATGAAGTTTAAACACCTGTTTAGTAAGATTTTCAACACGGATTTCTTCACAGGTCCTCAAGTAAAACCTCAGAGGTGGCATGCTCATTCCCTCCCTAAGAAAAACCAGGCAAGACGCTCATGGAGACAGTGAGCCACCCTAGCTCACATGGCAAGGGCACCACCAGGCTCAGGCCGTCGGCCCGCAGACCCTTCCAGCCCGCCACTCCTGGGGGCACAAGGGTGGCACAGCTGACCCTGGAACAACGCACGGGCTGTGGGTGCCAGCCCGAGACACAGGTAAAAACCCATGCGTCAACTTCCGCCTCCCCAAAACCCCACTGACAGCCTCCTGCTGATCCGAAGCTTTACCGGTAACACACACAGTTGACACACATGTATTTCCTATGTTGCATGATGTACTGTTTTCTTACAAGAAAGGCAACTACAGTAAAGGTGAAGGCAACTGTAAGGAAGAGAAAATACATTTACTACTCAGTGAGTGGAAATGGATCATCCTAAAGGTCTTCATCCTGGTCATCTTCAGGCTGAGGAGGCTGAGGTGGGGGGGAGGGGTTGGCCTTGATGTCTCGGGGTGGCACAGGTGGAAGGAAATCCACGTGTAAGTGACCCACGCAGTTCAAACCCGGACAGTGACATGCCCCATCCAGCTTCAGAAAGTCTAGCTCTGCAGTGGCAAAGGGCAACTAGAAGACGCAGGGAAGGAAGAGCCACAGCGGGCCCCGGCGGGAAGGGGCATGGGGATGGGAGCAGACAGGCGGGCAGAGTGCCTGGCGGCTGCAGGAACACCTCACACCTCCTGCCCTAGGGTCGGTCGGGTCTGGCAGAGACGGCCTCACACCTTTCCAGGAGGCGGCAGGGGGCTACCAACCCATGACCACTCTGCACAGCCACACGCGGCGTGACGCCACAGGGAGAGCACTCTAAGCAACCTCCGAAGTCACCCTCGGCCCTCCCTGCGACCTTCTGGGTAGGGGTCAAGGGGGGCTCTCTGGGCAATGGTTCCCGCCTCAGTCAGGGGTCAGCTTTCCACTCCTGCAAGCAGGAGCCTAGCAAGGGGAGGACAGGCAACGACATCAGATGAGGCCCCAGTCTGGACGGTGAGCCGACACCGGCCCCGCAGGCTGGAGGTCCACACAGAGTGAAATCACATCTAGCCCCAGGAGAGGTGGTCTGTGAGGTCTGAGGAGGATCAACGTGTCATTTAACAGGGGAGCGGAGGCAGAGCAGGGCAAAGAGGGAAGCAGCTGGGGGCAGCAGAAAGAGCTACCAACAGGGAGGCCATGAGCAGCCTGGGAGTCCCAAGTTCACTTCCGCGTGACTCCGAGTTCCTTGAACTTACCATGGAATACAGACTTCACGGACCTTCTTCCCTCCCGCTGCCCTGCCCGGTGTCCAGGACCACGTCTACTCTACCAGCAGATTCCCAGGGGCTGCACTTCCCTCACCAGGAACACTCTGGAGGCTTCCCTCTGAGTTCACTCCCAGGAAAGCCAAAGGCCTCTGTTTTGTCAAAGTGGACGCAGAAAAAGATGGGGAGCAGGCCAAGGGTATTCCAGGCAACAAAAAAGAGAAGGGAGCACAAGCAACACCCTAGAAACAAGGTCCCGAGGACAGCAGGCCACAGACCAGGGCGGCCACCAGGGTCCTCCGGGAACAGAGGCAGCCGCCCGCTCCTTGGCATAAAGACTGCGCCAGAGGCCTGGGTGCAGAGCACAAGACAGCCCTTCCGCGAGGGCAGCTTCCGATTCCTCAGCAGCCCCTAAAGCTGCAGAGTGTGCCAGAAAACAGAAGGGTGTGCCACCCTTCAACACTTAACCCAAAAGCACACGGCGGCAAGTTTCGTCAAGATGGCTGCACCCACACCTCCCATCCCACAAACTCTCCTCCAGGGCGACTGGGACAACCTCCTTCCAAGAGCCATCCTTGACCTTCTCCGCACCCACACCAACTACAGAGCCAGGCCCTTGCTGGACCGCCCTGCACCCACTCCTCCATCTGACCAACGCTCCCAGAGCGCCCACTCGGCTAACCCGAGAAACAAGTTCCACCTGCCTCCACCCACACGGAGCTCCCAGTTTTGGACACATAAACAAGTGGACGCCTATGGGACCGAGAGGAGAAAACAGGGCGCAGAGGCTTCACAAGTGGGGGTCAGGGAAGGACAAGAGGCCTGAGGAGAAGTGGGACCACTCGCTGGCACCCCCCTCCCGAGGGGCAGAGTGCTCCAGCAAACGAAGGAGCCCAGGGCCCTAGAGTGGGGGCGGCTCGGCGGAGACCACCCCACAGGGCTGGGGGTCTCAACAAGAGGAGCACTTTGTCCTGGTGACCACGGAAAATCACAGAGGACTTTAGGCAGGAGCAAGAGACTCTTAGGTTTCTACAAGATTAATCTAGCGTCTCTGAGAACAGCATGCGGCGTTCCCGCCTGCCACTGTGGTGCTTACGATTATTCCCAGATAAAGATACCAGAATAAAGCAGCTAATACTGTCACATGCTATTGAGTTACAAACTGCCATTCTTACGGGTTAAAAACAGTGGAGTGCTGTCAACTCCACAAGGCTCAACTTCCATGCACAAGCCACCATGGCAGGACCTCATCAGACCTCCATGGGCTTCCCATTTCAGAGATGAGGAACAGAAAGTTCTGAGCCGTCCGGCAACCCGCCCAGGCCCACGCAGAACAAGCCTGGTGGTCCAAGGGGCCACATGGCTCCCCACACTCAGCACCCTCATCCTGCTGGTCCCAACCCATCCACGTCTCTGACCAGACACTGCATCCCTGTAGGACAGGCTCTGTCTGCTCCATTCACTCCCGGATCCTCAGGGCTGAGGACAGAGCGAAACTGCCTGAGAAAATCAAATGAAGCTGGCGTGGTAGCTCACGCTGGTAATGGCAGCACTTTGGGAAACCGAGGCAGGTGGCTCACGGGCTCCGGAGTTCAAGACCAGCCTGGCCAACATGGTGAAAGCCCGTCTCTACTAAATATACAAAAATTAGCCAGGTGTGGTGGTGGGCACCTGTAATCCTGGCTACTTAGGAGGCTGAGGCAGAGAATTGCTTGAAGCCAGGAGGCGGAGGTTGCAGTGAGAGGAGATCAAGCCACTGTACTCCAGCCTGGGTGACAAAGCAAGACTCCATCTCAAAAAATAAATAAGATCAAATTCCCTCAACAGGGCACCACCCCAAACTGTAAAACAGTGTTCCCAGGAGCACCCAGACAACGAACCGCTGTGTGCACTTGAGGAGCTCGGCCCAAGGCTGGGCAGACCTGACCGCCACACGCAGCTCTGGGGGAGGCTGGCTTGGGAGTCTGACTTGCGCAGTCCCAGACACACAGCTACCTGTGAGGCCATGTGCTGCCCAAACGCCACCTCACTCCCAGGAGAGATGCCAGGAGCACACACTCATTTGGCCACCACGTCCCTGAAGGGCCACAAGGAGATGTGGAGTTTCTGCCTCTGACCCTGGAGGCCAGCCACCACCCAAGCGGGGACTCAGCCTTCGTAAATATCTCAGGGAGAACTCGCTCTCTGTGAAGGAACTGGCTGGTGAGGCCTGGCCTGGCTGCGACACACCTCCACTGTCTCTGGCACAATCACAGGGCCTGTGGCTGCCCCTTGAGGAGGTCACTAGAGGCAGAGAACGGCCAGTCCTGCTTTCCACAACGCCCACTCGTGTGCTGCCAAGACATAAACACGCAACGCGGCCCCACGGCCAGGCCGCATTTCCCATCCCGGCTTCCCACGAAGGCGGCTGTGCCTGGCTGGGTTGGCACCTCGTCCTCTGAGCCCTGCGGCCCAGAGATAAGGACCAGTTCCTAAATCTGCCTGCCCGTCTCACTTCCGGGCACAGAGAAGTCATGGATTGAGCCCCACTGACTGAGGACCTGGCAGCCGCCGTACCTTCGCCCACATTATCTCACTCCGTGTTCACCGCGACCCTGTCAGGTGAAGGCAAGCCCACACAGGCTCATCCACCGCTCCAGAATCAAAAAAACGCTCCGAAGGCGAAAGTGTCATCATTCTGGTCAGACCGGACCCGAAGCTCTTATCCTAGACGGTCCTGGGTGGGTTTGATCCGACATCACAGTGCAGAACCCCACAGATCCGCAAATCGCAAACATCCCGGACTCCAGAACACGCCGGCCCCGGAGATCTCGGGCGCAGAGTCCGGGGCTCGTGTCCTGGACGAGGGAGGCGGCTCCAGAAGTAACTTCGCTCCGGGGCGAGGCGGGTCCAACTCTGCCGAGATCAGCCCCGAAGCTCCCTAGGCCCCGGAAGACCCACCCACCCCCTGCGCCCAGTCTGCGCCAGGCGGGTCCGCGTCGGGAGTTCAAATCCCGCCCGGGGTCTGAGCTGGCCCCACCGGGGGGACTCGCGGCGGCGGAAGCGCGGGGGGTCCGCCGGGATCCCGACGGGGAGCGCGGGGCGCCCGGCGGCCCCGGCACTCGGCAAAGTTGGCAGACGCGCAAGAAACGGAGGCCTGCGCGCCGCCGCGGGGCCGGGCCGGGAACCGGAGCGGAGTGGGGCCGCGCGCCCACGGGACCCCCGCCCCCGACCCCGCCCCGCGCCCTGCCCTCCCCTCCCCCACCCCTGCCCCCCGCCCGCCCCGCGCCGCCGCGCATGCGCACCGCAGCCCGCGATGTGGCAGCCGGGAGGGGGGGCCGGGCCGGGCCGGGGGCGGCCGCCGACGGAGCCCCGCGCCCCTCAGGCCCCGGACGGGCCAGGCGCCCCGGCCGGCCACGGAGCTCCAGAGCGGTGCTGTCCACCGCCGGGGCCCACGGAGAGGCCCGACCAGGGCGGCGGGGAACGCGGGCGCGCGGGGGCGGGGGGCCGGCTCCCCCGGCCCGCTCACTCACCTCCGCCATGGCCGTGTGTGCGCGGGAGGCGGCGGCCGCTCCGGGATCCCCGGATGCGGGTCCGCGCGCTCATTGGCTACGGCGCCGGGAGGGCGGGGTTGGGGCGGAGCCTGGAGGGGGCGGGGCCTGGAGGGGCGGAGAGCGGGCCGGGCGCGTAGTAGGGGCTCTGGCGCGGGCGCGCAGCCGAGCGTGTCCTCCCGCCGGACGCTGGGCTCGGCCTTGACCGTGACGGAGAACGACGGATTCCACAAAAACGCGAGTTCCTGACGCCACACCTGTGCAGGGGTCACCTGGTTCCATGTGACCTCGCCGATCCCACGGCTGCCCGCTGTTAACACCCCGCGTGGCAGACGGGGAAACTGAGGCCCAGGGCGACGGACCACCCAGAGCGTCAGGGACACAGCCGGAACTGGAGCCCGGGCGGCGTGGTTATGGAACTTTCTGCACTTTTGCATCCGGGATGAGCAAAGGAGCCCCTCGAGGAACGAGTTGGGGAGCTGGCGAGGCGGAGAGCTTCCAGAACCTGCAGCCCGGGCCGGGCCGTCGTCCCAGCGCTTGGGGAGGCCGAGGCGGGGGGTCACCTGAGGTCAGGAGTCCCAGACCAGTCTGACCAATGTGGTCAAACCCCGTCTCTATTTTTTTTAATTTTCAGCCGGAGTTTCGCTCTTGTTACCCAGGCTGGAGTGCAATGGCGCCATCTCGGCTCACCGCAACCTCCGCCTCCTGGGTTCAGCAATTCTCCTGCCTCAGCCTCCTGAGTAGCTGGGATTACAGGCACGCGCCACCAAGCCCAGCTAATTTTTTGTATTTTTAGTAGAGACGGGGTTTCACCATGTTGACCAGGATGGTCTCTATCTCTTGACCTCGTGATCCACCCGCCTCGGCCTCCCAAAGTGCTGGGATTACAGGCGTGAGCCACCGCGCCCGGCCCTCGTCTCTATTTAAAAAAAAAAAAGTAAAAAGAAACTTCAGTCTGTCGTTGTTCACCGATTCAACATTTCTGGAACACGTGCACGTTCTGATCCTGTGCCAGGCTCCCCAGGGGAGGGTCTGAGGGAGACAGAACTAATGCCTGTCTTCAGGGCGCTTAGAGTGGAGGATGGGAAGGCAAGGACTCACCACACTTTAAATTTGAGACAGATTGAGTGTCTTGAATCTTCAGGGCACACAAAGCCCAGAGAGGGGAGGAAGCAGGGGGGCTGCAATGAGGCAGAGGCCAGGTGGGAGATGTGGGGCCTGGACCAGCATGCAGAGAGACTTGGGAACTGGACAGCACAGGACCCAGTGATGGAGGGAAGCTGGGGAAAGGGGGAAGCATGACCTCCAGATATGTGGCCCGCGCAGAGGAGTGGAGGGCCGTTCCACCTGGGACCCAGAGTGGGGACACGGGGAGAGACTCAATCGCGTTTCCCGGTGATCAGCCAATGAACAGTGAGGACTTGACAGGCACCACACTGGATGCCTGATAACAAAAGCCTCAGTCAGTCCTCTGAGAGTTCACCAACTCGAGACCGAAGAACCACTCTGGAGGGGTCTACCCTCACTCCGTTTTTGGGGGTTGATGTCTTTCAGGCGGAGAGTTCTGGCCCTCGTGTTCAGAGTCCTCATCGATTTGTGCAACAGCTGGTTCATTCATCTACTACTCATTTACTATTATTCATTCAGTCCTTCGGTGGACTAAACACACACCTTATGCAGTCCTCACCTGGGTGCTGGGTAGCCAGAGGTCCAGTGAAGCAGGAAGATGCATGGACAGATGTAAGAGTGGGTGCTGTGCTGTCACAGGTGGAGGGCTGGAAGACAGGACTTCAGTCCGCCTGGAGCAACCAGAGAAGATTCCTAAGAGACAGCTTGGCCAGAGTCATCACACAGATGTTAAATGAGGGCCTGGGTGAACAGAAGGGTATTGTGGCCTGGTACGGTGGCTCACACCTGTAATCCTAACACTTTGGGAGGCAGAGCTGGGAGGATCACTTGAGTTCAAGAGTTCAAGACCAGCCTGGGCAACATAGTGAAACCCAGTCTCTACTAAAAATACAAAAATTAGGGGCCGGGCATGATGGCTGGAGCCAGACACGGTAGCTCATGCCTATAATCCCAGCATTTTGGGAGGCCGAGGCAGGCAGATCATAAGATCAGATCAAGACCATCCTGGCTAACACAAAACCCCGTCTCTACTAAAAATGAAAACAATTAGCTGGATGTGGTGGTGTGTGCCTCTAATCCCAGCTACTCAGGAGGCTGACACAGGAGAATCTCTCAAACCGGGGAAATGGAGGTTGCAGTGAGCTGAGATCACGACACTGCACTCTAGCCCAGGCGACAGAATAAGATTCTGTCTCAAAGAAAAAAAAATTAGACAGATGTGGTGGTGGGCACCCATAACCCCAGCTACTTGGGAGACAGAACTAACGCCTGAGGGAGGCTGAGGCAGGAGAATTGCTTGAACCCGGAAGGCGGAGGTTACAGTGAGCTGAGATCACGACACTGCACTGCAGCCTGAACAAAAGAGTGAAACTCCATCTCAAAAAAAACACACAGAAAACTGATGAAGTGAACAAGGCAGTGAGTGTTAGCAGCTGGGTTTGGACATGGGTATGGAGGTTGTTTTTTTTTTTTTTTTTTCCTTTTTCGAGAGGGAGTGTTCCTCTGTTGCCCAGGCTGGTGTGCACTGGCGTGATCTTGGTTCACCAAAACCTCTGTCTCCTGGGTTCAAGCAATTCTGCATCAGCCTCCCTAGTAGCTGGGATTACAGGTGTGCGCCACCATGCCTGGATGACTTTTGTATTTTTAGTGGAGACAGGGTTTCACCGTGTTGGCCAGGATGGTCTCAATCTCTTGGCCTCAAGTGATCCACCCACTTCAGCCTCCCAAAGTGCTGGGATTACAGGCATGAGCCACCGCGCCCTGCCAGTATGGAGGGTTTCTACTATACTGATTCCTGCAGTTATTCTATCAGCATAACATGAAGTAAAACTCAGAAAATAAACAGCAGTAGGCCAGGCGCAGTGGCTCATGCCTGTCATCCCAGCACCTTGGGAGGCCAAGGTGGGCGGATCACGAGGTCAAGAGATTGAGACCATCCTGGCCAACATGGTGAAACCCCATCTCTACTAAAAAATACAAAAATTAGCCAGACATGGTGATGCACACTTGCAGTCCCAGCTATTTGGGAGGCTGAGGCAGGAGGATTGCTTGAACTCAGGAGGTGGAGGTTGCAGTGAGCCGAGATGGCGCCTCTGCACTCTAGCCTGGTACCTGGTGACAGAACAGGACTCTGTCTCAAAAAAAAAAAAAAAGAGAGAAAAGGAAAGAAAGAAGAAGGAAGAAAGGAAAAGAGAAAGAAAGAAAATAAAGAGCAGTGAACCTCGAGCAGAGACCTTAGGAGGAGAGGCTGGGGGGGGCGGTGCCCCGGCACTGGCACAGCAGTTTGACCCGACGCATCGTTGGAGGAGATGCCCCATGTGAGCCTCCACTCTAGGATCCCTGCTCCTTCTCTGCCTGGTTTTCATGGTCGGCGGGCAGCTTTCACATTTGACAGAGGCGTGGTATCCCCAGGACGAGGATCCAGATGGAGGCGTGGCAGCCCTGGAACGAGGGTCCAGGTCGCCACCTCGCTACGCCTCTTGGGGCAGATGGTGAATGTGGTGGAGCTGGGGGTGATAAATCCATGGCAGCCATGAGGCAGCAGGGGGGCTGCGGCTCAACCAAGCAATGTTTTCCTTGCAAAATTTCCCCAGAAAAAGAGGCCTAACAGGGTCCCGGAGGAGCTGTTAGCAGTGCACGGGGCGGCCTGTAGTGGGTGCAGGGTGCGTCATGAACGCCTCCCCGACACCAGCACTCATTTCCCCCTCTGCTCAGGGCCAAGTATCCCTCTGAGGGGCTGCCCACATCAGCGATGGGCTGGTTTGGATCTACAAGGACCCAGGCACCTGTGACCACCTGGGGCCAACCCTGAGGCTGCAGAGGTCCTGTGGGATTGGAGGGGGCTCTGTCATCCCAGCTCGCTCCTCCCTCCCTCCAGCCCTGCTTCCTTCACTCTCCGACAGGCGTTGACCCCAAGGGGGTCACCACAATATTCCTGCACATAATCTGTGTCTCAAAGTCTGTTTCCTGGAGACCTAACCTATGCCACAGAACATTAGTCACATTTTTTTATTTTTTGAGATGGATTCTCTCTCTGTAGCCCAGGCTGGAGTGCTGTGGCACCATCTCGGCTCACTGCAACCTCTGCCTCTCGGTCCCAGTTCAAGCAATTCTCCTACCTCAGCCTTCCTAGTAGCTGGGATTACAGGCACGAGCCACCATGCCCAGGTAATTTTTGTATTTTTTAGTAGACACAGGATTGAGTCACATTTTAAAAGGTTTAATAAAACGAAAGAAGCATCTCGGTCTATCTGTGCTGCTATAATGAAGCACCGCGGATGAGGGCGTTTATAAAGAAACAAAATTATTTCTCACAGTTCTGGAGTCTGGACAGCCTTGATCAAGGTGCCGACAGCTTTGGTGTCCAGGGAGAGACTGGTCTCTGCTCCCAAGATGGGGCCTCCAAAGGGAGGAACGCCGAATCCTCACGTGGCAAAAGGAATGGAAAGGCAGAGTGGTCCCTTTGACCTTGTTATAAGGGTGCTTATTCCTGGGGGCAGAGCCCTCATGACTTAACCTCCTGCCAGAGGTTCCACCTTTTCATCCAGTTGCATTGCAGATTAAGTTTCAACATGAATTTTGGAGGGACACCATCATTCAAATCATAACAAAAAGCAATACTAATTGAAAGTCTAAGATAATGAGAGAGAAGATGGCCATAAAAGAAAATGAATAGAAAAAAAAAAAAAAAAGCAGGGCCGGTGTGGTGGCTCACACCTGTAATCCCAGCACGTTGGGAGACCGAGGCGGGAGTATCGCTTGACCCTAGGAGTTCAAGACCAGCCTGGGCAACATAGGGAGACCCAGTCTCTACTGAAAAATGACAGTAAGTACAACAAATACATACATACACACACACACAC